AAAAGCATTTCTAAAAAAAAATAATTGGGGATGTAGTTCAGTGCTAGAGTACCCCTGGGTTCTTTGAGGTACCCAGTACCACAAAGAGAGAGAAAGAGAATGCAAACTACCATTTCACATCTACTAGCATAGTCATAATAAAAAGTAGACAAATACCAAATGACAGCAAAGATGTAGAGAAATGAAAACACTCATTGCTAGGTGGAATGAGTAGAAGGAACATGGTGCAGCCACTTAGGGAAACAATTTGGAAATCTCTTTAAAAGTTAAAGATAAATTTACCCTATGATTCAGGAATTCCACTGCTAAGTAACTACCAAAGAGAAATAAAAACATATGTTCACATGAAGACTTGAAGATACATATCCACAGCGTCATTATTCACAATGGCCAATAAAATGGAAACAACCCACATGTTCACCAATTAATAAATGAATAAACATTCCCCACAATGAAATGTTATTTGACCATCAAACAAACAAACAAAAAGTGTTGGTTCATGTTATCATATACATGAGCTTTAAAAACATTACACTAAGTGTAAAAAGCCTGATACAAAAGTCTCATACTGTACGGTTCCATTTATGTGAATAAGGTAAATCCACAGATAGAGAATATAGCCTGGCAGATGTTATGGTCTGGTTAAGAGGGTGGGGAGAAAGCAGAAAGGAAAGTAAATGAGTATGAGTTTTTTCCCCCTGCAATAATAAAAAACATTCTGAAATGAGACAGCAATGATCATCCCACATATCTGCAAATATACTAAAAACCATTGAATTGTACACTTTATATCAGAGTTTTATTTTTATTAACTGTATCCAAAAGAGTATCTGGCATAGAGTAGTACTCAGTATTTGGAGAATGAAACAATGCAAAGTAGTCTCACACAGTATGTCAGACATTATTTAACAATTACCCCATTTTTTAAATGTAGATTTTTCCCAATTTTTACTATGATAAATACTCTCACGATAAATAATTTTCCATGAAAATGGGTAAAAGATTTGAATAGACATTTCTCCATAGATAATTCCTAAATGTGTAGTAAGCAGATGAAAAGATGATCAATATCATGAGTCATTACAGAAATGCAAATTAAAAGTACAATATACTTTGCAGCCATTAGAAAGGCTACGGTCAGGAAAAAAAGACAACAACGAATGTTGGCAAGGATGAAGATAAATAAGAACTCTCATACTAGTTGCTAGTAGAATATAAAATGGCACTGCCATTTTGGAATAGTTTGATTATTTCTCAGAAATTTAACTGCATGTTTACTATATGATCCAGCAATATACTCCTAG